TGTCAAAGAAATCTTCAAACGTTCTTTGCCAAATTTACCATTTTAATATAGCAAATAATACAGGATCTTCTCTCCAGTGGTGTGCCCCACCAGTGGCAAGTGGTTTAGACCTCTGAATACTTGTTGTTTGACCTGGTTTGGGTTTGATCCCAAAGGAATGCTTTGTGGTTTTTTTCCATGTTAACATGAATATGGACCAGTTCTCTGTAACAAGTCCTCCACTAAAGTATACCACCTCTTAGACATAGCTATTGTGGCCTTGCTAAGTTATGATTGGGCAGCAAAGCACAATTTTAAGATAGCCGCTACACAAAACCAAAATAACAAGTTAAAGGATTGCAGAGACTATGTACACATTGATCTATTTTCACTTAATCAGAGCATTGCACAAACTCGGCATTGAGCATTGACTTTGCCCACATACGCATCAATCTATTTTCGCTTAAAAGGCGAAGGAGCACCCAACTCTACACTAGAGTAAAAAAAAAAGCATGCATATAATCTCAATAAACTGCATTTTAAATCAAACAACAAAATAACATAATAAAGCACTACACACTACTATTGCATCTACTCACTACACAAAGGAAATATCCACTTATTTAGAAATTTCTGCGACTTCAGTCTTTGGCACACAAAATTCCTTAACAGCCTCCAAAAACTTTCCTCAAACCATATTACCTTTGTAACTGAATGCTTTATATGTTGAGCATTTGAACCTTTCTTGCGACAAACCCATAAAGCCATCTCAATGACCTTTGGCGTCGAGCATACGCATTTTCTTCATACAAACAGAACATATAGTTCTGTTGAATTACATCCAACAATGTTTGTTTTCTTCTGCCCTCAACCACTTCAAAAAACAACAACAACAACAAAAAATACACCTTCGCATCTCTCATTCTATACCACCAAACACTTAGTTTATCACCGGCAGCCATTTTACGATGCAAAGCACACAATATGCAATGCAGCAATAAGCCCTCAATATTTCCCCATCAGTAAAATTGACTGCAGTCACGCAACCAATCATATCATATAATCGGGTTTCGATAACATTCAACTACTCAGGTTACCATAAATGAAACAACTTGCTGATAATCCAAGAGGCACCCTAAAATATGGCCTAACGTAGGCTTTTGTTTCTTGAGGTACATATGATGCTTAGATTCGAGATTTAAATTTTGATGATTTCCTACTGCCCACCTTGGAATGCCGGTATGGCACAAAATGTTATGTACTGTATGTTTGTGGCATATTTTGTTTCTGGAATTACTTCTAAACCTGTAATGTGATATCACTATTATGATGCTCTTGGTGGTATTTTTCAATATGTAAATTTAATTTACAGCTCATCTTAGAATAATAAAAAATAACAATGTTATAGTACTGCAGAAAAAATGCAATATATTTCATTTCTTTTAAAATGAAGGGAATACAGTTAATGTTACTTTAATTGCATATATCTGAAATAAATTTTCAAAGCCTCAAGGTTTTACTTTCTGATTCAACTGGGGAGTATGATTTTCTGATTCAATTGGGGAGTACGACCCAAGGTTTAAGAACTCTCAGAAAAGCAAAATCATGGGTGGTAGTATTGGCATTTGTATCACAAGATACCGGCCTCTGTTCAAATAGATTAGAGTTATACAAAAAATGGCTTATTTTTAAAGTTGCTTCTTTAATATAATTAAGAACTTGTGTGCATATTCAAACAAGAATATGCTTGAATATGTACATGACTTTTTAATTATATATTCAAACAAGAGTATGCTCATTCAAAGCAAATCTAAATATTAAACTACCATCACTAAAACTACATTAATTTATTTGGACATTTGAAGGGGGAAACCTACAACTGAACTAAGCAAGTTAACACTGGTTTGAGTAATTAAAATTTCTGTCATTGTTCATATGAATTTTAGAATCCAGAATTTTAGAAAAAATTATAAATTTCTGCATTAATTTATTGTAAAAGTTGTTTAATGAATATTGCCATCATTTTCCAAGTATGAATGAAATTTGGTTACTTTGAATACATATTGTCTAGGAAATGGATACTGTCTAATTAACAGTTACAAGACTGACAAGAAAAATGATCAAACTGATTTCAAAACTCGCATTTATTTTGGTTTGCCTTATCTGTAAACATATTCATTTTATTGTAATTTAAATTATATACTCAGTATAACAATTATAAAACCTAATCATGAAAATTATTTATCAATATTTATACTGTGAAAAATTACTAGTTTAAATAATAGCTAAATTTTTATTCATCTAAGATATTATGTATATAGTTGATTGGGAGGAATTTTTTCACCATTTATTCAACAGCAGTGTTTAACTTTTTCTACAGCAATTAACTTACTCAAAATGCTGGTTTACATTACCAAAAATCTGAACTCCAGAAACATGCATAAAATTGATGGCTCTGCTAATGTAAGCTGAATGATTTCAACCCTGGAATGAGCTGGTGTAAACCTCGAGAAATGAAATTTTTTTATTTTTTAACCCATAAATGACTCGCATTATTTTTCAAAACATATTTTTTAATCTTCTGTTATTTTTTGCTTAAACATATTTGTAAATTCTAATTAAAGCTTCAGTGTTTCTGAGGAGGAAAAAATTGTTTCCCTCACATTGAAAATTTTCATAGAAATAAACAAACATATACAGTACAAAGTCCGTAATCTGGACTCGTCGGGAATTCGGCGATTCCGGATTAGGGGGTTTTTCTGGATTATAGATCACAATTTAAATCCGGTAAGATGGCATGCAGAAATTATACAATTAAAAATATGAAACCATAATTTATGAAATAAAGAGCAATTATGATCTAAAGGGTATCAAAATTTACAAAAAAAAAAAAAAAAAAAAAAAAAAAAAAAAAAAAGCTTAATATTTATTTGTTTACTTTAGTAAACATTTCTATAAATGTAAGTTATTTAAATTTCATCGTTTTTTGTGCTAATACTTTCTTTTTAATTCTATAAACAGACATAGTTTCTTATCCAGTTACAAAGTTCCACTGTACAAGTCCTGTAATTGCTGTGTCGAAATCGAAATTTTTTCGTGATCAATAACGTTCTCTGTTACTTTCTTCACTATCGGAAGCGCGCATGGGTAAACGCTTTACTGGCTTTATGTGCATGTGTAAGTTTGTGGCTTTGAGGTCCGTATTATAGATCATTTTGGATAATGGACGTCCGGATTAGAGACTTTGTACTGTAGTATTATTATTTTTTTTTTGCAAAGTTCATTTTTAAATTTTCAGATCTCATAGAGGCTGCAACCAGTCAAATGATATTATGAAGACATGCCAATCTTCTAGAAACATTAGATAATAAAATGCTCAAGGTGAAACAGATTTAGCAATGATTCTCCAAAACCTCGTCATTGTGACCCATGAGGAATGCTTTGGTAATGACATTTTAAGTTTTAATTTGACAATGCCAAAAGATGTATCAAGTGAAATTGAGATTTTGTTATCTAACAAATATTAAAATGTATCGAAATCATCAGAATATTTTTTAGAGAAATTCTGAGTCATCTAAAAAATTTGCGTGGAAAAGTTGTTCTCCTATACACTTTGTGATGTTTGTCAACAGAGAATCAATAAAAAAGGAAAAGTAGGTAGTAATTTTGGAAAAAATACATGATCTAGAGCTCTTAGATGTGTTTTTACAATTAATAATCAGAATCTTTTGGAAAATATGACCCAAGAAAATAAAAATATAATAATAAAAAAAATCGACAAAATTTTTGTCTTTCTGTATCCATGTCAAAGTGCTGTACTGGCTTTCTGCTTTACAATGGTTATAAAGGCTTTCCTCAAGAATGAACCATTCGGTCTCTGGCTGAGATATCAATTGTCCATTAGTATGCGCAGCAATAGCAAATTCTACATATACTAATATCAAGCAGAATTTGCGTTTATCTGAAAATGATACATTAGATAAAACAGAAAAGCTTTTCTAATATTCGTGTCTAATTGTATATTTTGAATGTCAATTTCATCCAGTAAGAGATTTTCTCAACCATTCGGTCTCTTTTTTAACACATCTTTCTATCGATGAGCAAATAATACCTTATTTTGTGGGTATTTGTGGAAAACGTTTTTTCAAATTGAAACCTGTTCATTCAGGTATAAAATTGGTATTCTTCTGAAGGGTATGTGTGTCATTTTAATATGCACTGAGGAAAATTTGCAATGAAACTCACTGATCTTAGACTAGATGGAGATGCTGTAATGCATCTTTTAAGTGTCGTGGAAGTTTTTCCAAATCATTACATATACTTCAACAATTATGTAGCATTGCATAAGTAATTTTCACTGTTGCATTGTCAAAATTGAAAGAGCTATGATTTCATGCTATGCAAATAACTCACGAGAACAAGTTAAAAAATTATTTCAACGTACTTGTAAACAAATCATAAAAGAAGAGAATGTGGAACATATGACAGTGTATTTGATAACAAACATGGCATTTGCAGTAGTTTGATGGAATGATAATTCCATAGTAACTATGGCAACTAACTTTGACATAACTGATGTGCATTCAGCGGCCAAGAGATACTTCATTTTACATTATAAATCACATTTAAATAAATAATAGGATGGGATATATAAGTTTAGATAATTCAGTATAATTTGATTTCAAATGAAAATGTTGAAAAATATTACTTCAAAAATTTCATTTAATTTATTAAATGAGCATAATTCAAAATGTTATTCAGCAGTCTTTCTGAAATGTTCTAATTCATCTTTTCTACTTATTTTTAACATATTAAGAAATAGACAAGAAGAGAAACACGCTAATATGACAATCAAAATCGTAAAAACAACCTTCTATTTAGCGTAAGTATATTGAATATACTTACGCTAAATACAAGGTTGTTTTTACGATTTTGAATATTAAGAAATCTTATTTTTAATCAATTTTCTAAAAAGTAAAGTTATTTGGTAATTCTGGATATTTTCTTTTTTGTATTTACAGTTTGCAAGAAATGGCATCACGATGATTAGTATAATGAAGTGTTGTGGAAATCAGCTGAAGTTTCTCAAGAACAGATGCCTAAGTAACATAAAATATTGAACTCATGTAACTCGATACATTTGATGATTAAATCTGAAAACTCCTATTTCAAAGGCAACATTTTAAAATAAAATCCTTAGCTAAGTCACTCCTTCATGCACATAATTTACTGCATATAACATTTTAATGTGATTTCGTATGAGATTAAATAGGCATATGTATTGCTAAATGACCCTTGAATTCAAATGAACTGCTATATTTAGTACCTGTTTGTGATTCTCACTGGTGTGAATAAAAATATGTTTGTTTTAAACACTCATTTAACTATGAATAACTAGTTACAGGTCTCACATTCGTGCCATTTCTCATTGTAATGGGTAAGAATTTTATTTTTAATGCAGATGATTTACAAATATTGCATTCATATAGATTGTTTCCAGTGTATGTAGACATGTTTATTTAAATGATGCAGGCATGCAACTGATCCATCACATATAACTTGTTCATGTGGTGTCTGTTTAGTATGATTAAGATGTGTGTTTTTATGTGATTTTTGAGTATAACAGATAGCAGGTCCCAGCATGCCACCAGGTACGCTCTACGAGGTTCGACATGCATTACTACAGGAATGGGCGCTACTGCCACAACAAGCGATCAACGATACTATTGCCAGCTTGTCTCTCTGTTGTTAAGCATGCATTTCAGCTAGAGGATATCATACTCATAATTAGCACGATATTTATATTACACATTCTTTCAAGCCATTTGATCTTTCACGATGCGATGGTCGTAATACATTTGCTTTTCAATGTCTTTGCTTTATTGTTTTCTATGTTGTGCCACATGAACGAGGTTCGACATGTTTTCTATGTAGTGCCACATGAACCTCTTGGATCAGTTTCATTTATATATCCAATTAAATAATATTTGTTTTAGTCTGTGTTTTATGCTGATTTTTTGAGCAGGAGTATTATATTAATATGCCTTCAGTTGTGCTTTTTAATGTGCTGTGTGTGTATCAGTTTCCTTTTCTCTTTACAAATAGTATACATTGCATAATTTTCCTTTCTGAATTTTCGAGTGGTAAAATTGGTAAGAGAAGAGGGGAAATATGTTAGTATACAGGTTATTTCAGGTTGAATTATAAATGTATATAAATTGTGAGCAGTGCCAAATTTGTTGCCAAATGTACGGCACCAAAAATGCTGGAGCTAGTTCTAAAAAACAATACCTGTAACTTGCACTTTTAATTACTACCTGATTTCCTGTTTCTAGTATTTCAGGACTCCACATAAGTGTGTTGCACTGATCCATATGATAATCATATTTACTTATGCAATTCCTGATTAATTATGTCTTAAAAATTATTTGTAATGGCTGTTTTGGACTTTCATTGTTATATATATTTTTTCTTTCTAGGATTTTTATATGTCCTCATTGCAGTTTAATTGTCTAACTTGCCTTACTTTTTAATCATTTGCTTTGCATACATTCATGGGTCTAATTTTGTAAAAATGGTATATATGTTAAGTGTTTATTTTTACAAGTCTAAAATATGTAACATGTACAGTTGAACTATTTGTGTTATTTCTCATATATAATGGTCACAAAAGCATAAAACGCATGAACATTTTCATTTGAATTAAATTTTAATATTTGTAGAACAAAAAATAAAGATTTTTACCATTATATTTAGCACATTTTTCTATTGATCATCTAAAAGGTTTACAAAAGATGAAAAAAAGAGACCGTGAATGCTTTTGAACTAAAACTGTGCATAATTTAAGGTTACATGAACTACAGAATGAGGTTTTTGGATCTAAGTTATGATTTATTATCCCTTTCGCAGCTAAATTTCATGAGAACCATTTCATACAAACAAATTTTGATGTTTTGTTGGAGAAAACTTTATTATCAAACAGGAAGTAAACAATGGTTTCACCATATTGGGCTAAGGTATGAGGAAGCTCTCTGGCAGCCTGTTTTTGGATTAGTTCTTCTTAGAATGTCTGCTAATTTGGCAAAATATGAGAATCATCAAATGTCATTTATTCGAAAATGTCATTGCATTGTTCAGTGTGATGGGTTAAAACAACGTCTCTTTGAAGAATGTGATTGACTTATCTGAACCTGACTGATCTTATCTCTAATAAATAATTATTATGTATTAGCCTGCAGTGTGAAAATTAGCATTTATATTTCATTATTTCTGTTAATTGGAAACAATTATTTCCAAGATATACTATACATTAAAAGAAATCTAATACGTTCTTAATATAAATGCTTTTAATACATAAAATATATACAGCTACTTCTTGCTTCACATGCTTAGTTTAAAAACATGTAAATATTAATGCATAGTTGAGAAAAATAGGCATTATTTAAAAGCATGTAAATCGCTATTTTGTAGATTCAAAAAAGAGAACAGTCATAAATTATTAAAACATTTCAGTTTAAAAAAAATAATAATAATCAAAAGATCGAGTAACTTCATGTTTTATTTTTTACATGTTAACATAAATGTGTCTATGCATTGCAAATTGAGCATGAATGTATGAATGACAGTAAATTTTATTACTCACATGCACACACAGAATTAAATATGAACTCATTAAATAAAGATCATGCTTTTTCACATTTTTCATAAATTAAATATAAGTGATATAGTGTACTATGCATCTTCACATAGATTAATTAATATAAAGATTACAGAAATTATTTGAAATCACACTAATCTCTGTTGACTTCTTGATTTCTTAAACTAATTAAATTAGTCAGTTTTTGTGAAAATGAATATTCTTCATATTGTGATTAAATTTAGGCGGGAAAATTTTAAAAGTTTGTCTAGAGAATATAGTATACATTTTGCTGGAAAACCAGCAGTTTGCATAAAAATGTATACTAGATTCTCCTGGGAATTCAAATTTAAGCTGTGCAGTAGAGGAGCCATAAGGGTATTTTTCGATGAGACAAATGTCAGTTTCTATTACAAAAGCTTTTGCATAATTTTATATACACAAAGATTAATATTCTGTTTTTAACTTGCTTGTGAAATTTTTCTTATGCTCACCATTTTTTTTATTAGGCACTGTTAAAGCTGTTAGAGAGAGTGCCATCTGTGTAGCCATTCTGGAAGATTTTGAAGAGTAGGTTGGACTTGAATATTTAATTTGCAATGCTGTTAAAGTTAGCAGTTTCTTGTGTATGGCGCTCTAACTCTGATGGAAAGCAAAAATAAAAGGGGGGGAACGTTTTTAGAATACACTGGTATTAGAGCAAAACAGTTTCATTTCCTTGCAAATCATCACTTTGTAAAAGAAAAGTGGATTCTGGAAATTCACAGTGAATCCCATACGAAAATTGCGCAGTTGCATCACTTAAGGGTTCTCATAAAACTGATTCCCTGAAGACTGGTTATGCCAGAGTTTGGCATAACCATCTTCAGGGAATCAGTCTTCAGAAATCTTCTACTAAGATGGTTATGATAACAAGAAAGTAGCGCCAGTTCATAAAATAAAATAATAATTCTTGTGAATAAAATTAAAAATTAATTCAAAAAGCGTTTAAAATGTTAATTTTTGAGTGTTTCTTTATTTTTTGTTCGCAAAAGTGTCTCGACTGAAAAATGTGAAAATATTAGAAAAACATAATAACTGACCATTTGAAACAAATTAAAAGAATATAGACAAGGACACCTGCAATACATATGTGGCCGCAAAATATATTTTTCAGATGTAGACATTATTCGAAATTGCAATTAGAAATTCTACATCTGATAAGTAAATGCCGTCGGAGCACCTGATAAAAAGTATTTGCTTACTGTATAAGAATATACATATTTCTGATATTCGTATTACTGAAATATAAGATGGCTAAAAAATTTTAATCGAAATCTACTACCATTAGTGTATTTATGTTTACTGCACAATAACATGTTCTATATGCAGTCCGTCATGGATAAATAGATATTCCATGCGTTCTTGCGATTGCTGACAACATACGGTAACACTATTCATCGATTATATCCCTAGTTATTGACGAAGTGTTCTCACCAAGCTCTTTTACACTTCGCCGGAGGGCGTTAGAACCCTTTCTAATATTCTCCACAAGAAGCGGCCAAAAATAAAATACTTTAACTTTCCATGCACTATTGCTTATTCCGAAACTGGTTTCGCATCCATTGCAACCATCTTATTTAAGAAGACTCAAAATACGTTTTACCTGGATGTTATAAGGATTGTATTTTTAAGACTTTGATGCAGGACTTTCTTTTGCTTTTATCAGAGCAAATGATGTATAATTAGCGTTACACGTAGTAGTGATATTTAAATTAATAATAAAAAAATTGAAGCATTTTGATAGTAGAAATGCTAAAATTTCTCATTTTATTCTATGACACTTAAATATACAAGAAATAATTCATCTATAAATTAAAATTTTAGTTAAAAAACAATGGAAAAGTATTCATGTGATTAACAAAAATAATTAAATATTCATGTGATTAACAAAAAATGAACGGAAAGTCTACGATTTTCCATTTAGAAATAAGATCAGGAAAAATAATCTTTCCTCAGCTAATAAGTGGCGAGAAAATACTTCGAAGGTTAAAGGACACTTTCAAGTCGTAAAGCTTTTGTTCTACAGGTTGTTTATAAAGTTCCGGACCCATTTTTATGTTTAATAGCTCATAAAATAATGAAGATATAAACAAACTTATGGCATTTATGGATGGAATAACTTATATATTTTCATTTTCAGGTTTGAATATATTTACAGGGTTCGTACGGTCCTTAAAAGTCCTTAATTTTGGCCAAAATGAATAAACGGTCCTTAATTTTGCTCATTTGACATTTCTTATCATTTCTAATGTATTGTTTAATTCCTGCAGGGGAATTTATTGCAATTGAGTCACTTGCCCATGTATCACAGAAATTGTAATGGAATGGAAATAATGCAAATATATAGCAATACTGTCAAAGTCTCGATTAAAGCAGCATCTTTCATACTTTTATCGAAATTAGCAAATCGATTACTTTTTCTCAATAAAAAATGTTCTAACATCTACTATTTCAGGCACGGAGCCAGGGGTGGGGGGCCCGAGCACCCTCCCACGTCACCACTACCTATATTAAAAAGAGCGCTAATTAATTTTCAATAGATAAGACGATATTTGCCCGTTCGGTGTTGAACCGAATTCTCCATTTTGGCCAAAAGGAATAAACGGTCCTTAATTTTGCTCATTTGACATTTCTTATCATTTCTAATGATTGCCATTCTAAGTGTGAATTACGATTTCTCATGAATATGGAATTAAAATTACACAGCTCTTAACTAATCTGTTGGCGGATTTGCATTGCAAACGATTAAAAAAAACAATTAGCTACCCGAACGAAAGTATCGGTGTCTGATTGGCTATTCACGCAATCTTTCGAAACAGGTGTTATCCATAAATTTAGGCAGACTGTGACGAAAGCGTGAAGCTGGAAGTTCTTTAAGAGGCGAAAGTGATGATGAAGGTGCTCGAGAAAAAAAAAGGGAGGGGGGAGATTCTGAAAATATTTGCCAAAACTAGAGCAATTCCAACCTGGAAGGCCACAACCCTTCCGACGCCAATAGGAACGAGATGCCTGGAAAGTGCATTTTCAATAAACTGTGGCTTCATCAAGCTGACTACAAAGACTGGATATTGATGGATGGCAATCCTTATAAAGCTAAATGTGGTCTTTGTCTGAAACAAATTGAAATTTCTAGAATGGGAGAGTCAGCGCACTGAAAATTCACATTAAAATTAAGTTTCGTTTTATCATTTCAATTTGTTTTTACACGGTTTTGCTTAGCTTAATTTCTGTGTTTGTTTCAATTAAGCCATAAATTAATTTTTTATCACCTTCTACGGAGTTTATTCTCTTTTGCACATACTATATGTATGGGATATCGGGATTATGAGTTTATTTCTGCAGAGGGTCTGTTATCGATTTCGCGGGAAATCTGTTGGCTCCATTTCGATTTTAGGTCGCCAAGGGCAAAATCGGTAACGCTAGCTGAGAAAAAGTGAAGTTCGGAAATACGTTTTGAAGCTTCAATAGACAATTAAGTATTTGGTTTAAACCTATGTTTTTGATAGTAATGCATAATTTTTGCTAATGGCGATACAATTATTAGTTGAAAATACTAATTATTGAAAATAACTAATTAAAATTTTTTAAATATTTTTAAAGCTGAAAACAACTAATTGAAACTAATTTTCCTGAATTAACTAGACGCAAAATTAACTTTCATGAATTACTAAAGTTATTGGGTAGAAGTTTAACTGAAAATATACATTCCGTATATATATATATATATATATATATTTATACAGTGTACAAAGTCCGAGGTCTGGACTCGTCGGGACTTCGGCGATCCTAGATTTGAGATTTTTCCGGATATTAGATCATTTTAAATCTACTAAGATGGCACGTAGAAATTATAAAATTGAAAATATGAAATCGTGATTTATGAAATAATGAAGCATTTATGATTTAAAGGGTATCAAAATTTACCAAAGAAAAGAGCTTAATATTTATATGTTTACTTTAATAAACATTTCTTTCAATGTGAGTTGTTTGATTTGTTTTCTCTGCTAATACTTTAGACTAATACTATAGACATATAATTTCTTGTTCAGTTATTAAGTTCCATTGTTCAAGTCCTGTAATTGCTGTGTCGAGAATTCCGAATAACTTGTCAATCAAAATTTTTTCTCGTTCAGTAACCTCTCTGTTACTTTCTTCACTATCGGTAGCTGTATTTTCTGGATTTAGAACCATACTACAGATTCCGCCCTCCGTTAATTGATTGATGATTGGGCATTGTCATTGCAATGAAAAACTTCTGTTTAACTTCGCTAAATTCTGCCGCCTGGTGCGGCCATGCGAGCTCTGGAGCTGGCTGGCTTGGCTGGTTCTGGCTTTATGTGAATAACAAATCAGTTATTCTTAATTCAAATAGCACTAAATATAATCGTTTGTCCTATGAGTATCATTAACAAAATCTATTTTTAGCATAAGGAAAGAAATTTCTGCTAAATCTCCCCTTGTCAACATTTTAGCGCATTAAATTTAAATCTGTAATCGTATAATACTCTGTTATTTGGCATCGCTGCATGATTCATCACTCAAGTTGTCATTC